TTAAATATAAATGATAATATATAAATAAAATCTAATAATAATAATATATATAACATTTATTTCAGGTTGAAAGGTTAAAAATGCTTCCTATTTTTTGTTTTTAATTTAACTTTCTTTAACTATCTTTTTTCAGTTCCCTATTAAACAGGGTTATGATATATAAAATAAACAATCATAATTAATGACAGTGCTGGAGGAGACATTGGGCCTGTGAGGTGCCCAGTAGACAACAGTAGATCTAGCTATTATACAAAGAATAAAATAACATACAAATAAGGAAAAAAAAATATGAAAATTGTATGAAAAAAATATATTACTAATAATATTACATAATGAGATAAATAAGAGTAGGTGGGGTATCCTATTAATAATCCAATTTTTTTAGCTGGAAACAAAGTGACATTTCAGACTCATTTTAACTTTTAAATGGTTTATTTTTTTATTTTATAACTTTATTTTTACGGGCAAGTCATTAAAAACAAGTTCTTATTTACATTGGTGGCCTGACAAGTGGAGTAACCACTTAGGTAAAGGAAATTAGGGCTAAAATAAATACAATACATTTGTAATACATACCGTACATAAAATACAATTTAAAACACAACAGACAACCCAACATTGACTATGTAGAGAAGCAGCTGCAAGTGTCTGTGAACAAGGATGATATATAAATGTTTTGAATGAAGAAATTAAAATTATTCTATCCAGTTTAAGAATATTTTGCGTTACAGTCACAAGCTGCAGCAGATGGAAAAGAATCCAAGACCAAATGTACTCTATAAATCTATCATTCTCAACCCCATAATGGGATGAAAGTTGATCCCTTAAAGTGAAATATGAAGTAGCATGTAGATTTTAAACTCAGCTTGTTAAATATTTATGGGCCTAAGAGCTTGTTTTAAAAATAGCTCTTCCTTAATGAGCAGGAGTTATTTCCCTGTAATAAAACTGTATATATACAAAAAGAAAATGTATGCCTCTTTCATTGTGAATTTTGAGTATTTGAAGGTTATAAATTTAAAGGTGCAGACAGGGTTTCTGAGTAACTGACATTTTATACAGTGTAGTAGAAAGAGTATTAACCCAGACTAAGTTACAACATCAAACATATGGAGTGGTTATACCAAGGTAGAAGGTAAGGGAGAAATTAGGTTCAACATAATAACTAATCAGTCTAAGGGGATTTAGAGAAATTTTGGACAAACGCAAAAAAATTGATCTGTCCATTTTGAATCCTCACCAGCCTGTGAATCCAGGAATCTACTACATTATACCCAATACATGTTAGTATTGTCAATCTAAGTTTTAAATGAATGTCTGAGCTGGTATATGACAAGTTTGCACTTCCCTGGCTTACAAATGAGTCGGTGTGAGGTGAGTTATTTACATCTATTTACATTTAAACTTTGCTTAAGCACAGGGAAATTTAGCTTATTCAAAAAATATTCAAACATATATTTAAAGTGTCTTTATTTTACTTTTTTATTAAGTGTATTCACTGTTAATATTTGTCATCTCTGTATCATAGACCTCAAAGATGGGTTGACGGCAGAATGCAGACAATAGTGACTCCATACTAACCTCTCTAAACTAAACCCTGCAAAATCTAATGGTTTATTTCAAGCAAATACAGCAGATACAGAAGCCATGTTTGCTAAATATGAGATTTTTTTTTTAGAAGTGCCTTAAATGACACTGTGCCTCTCTTAATGCCTTAAAGTTATTTTAATTTTGCCAAATAACCATAAACCTTTATGTATGGGATTTTGTGCAATAGAGCAAAATGAAGAGAGACATTATCATGAAGGGAACTAAGTATATTAAAATATTTTGCATTGTTTAATCTGATGTTTTTACTGAATCTCATATGCAAATCAGTGGGCAGCTTTTGGTGAATGCATTCATTAAATGCCATGTACCAATTGTCAGATGACTTCTCTTTCTACTGATTCACCCAAACATCAAACACCCATCTGAAAAGCGTGGCGCTCAGTTATAATAAGACCCCTTAAAGAATTTAAATCAAGAATCGAGGGTAACCATAATTGAAACAAGGAATCGGAACCAGAATCATTCATATTTAACCAATGTTGAATCCTCTATAACATGCATCCCTAATTATTAGACTTATACTGAATAACTTAAACCTATAGAATAGTTGGATAGGGTAACAGGCACTGTTGCTCTGATTCAAATGGTAGTTTGTATTACAACTCACGTTGCTTGTTAAAAGCATAGTTGTTGTGTTGAAGAAATATTAAAGGTATTTGTTCTTAAGCAGCTGTGTATTGTAGGTTTCTGTTGTGATTGGAGCTGCTTCTATTAAAAAAAAAGCTATTTCACATGGTTGCTTTTTTT